TGAGAATTACAACAATTAATATGTGTAAGATATTTAGAAATTTAAGTACTAAGGTACAGCAGTACCTGGCATGTTGTAAGTGCTTAGAATGCTAATATTATCACATACTGAGCTCCTACTACATGGCAGATATTGAGAAACAAGGATGAATGACAGGTTGCCTACGGAATTTACAGTCTAGTAAGGATGAGAGAGATGTACACAAATAAATGAACTGAAGTGTTACAGAGCCAGAGAGAGAACACAAGTATATACACATATATGTGCACACAAGCACACAGATATACACGCACACATACACACGATAGCATACACACGCACACATGCAACTACTGGCAACTGATGAGTTACAAAGCAAGAAGGTGCTCCTTGCACTTGGAAGAAGCGAAGCCGAGAAAGGCTCCATAGAGACCGTGATGGCCGAACTGGGTCTTCTGATGTGAACAGGGCCTGGCCAGGCAAGACAGAGCACAGGGGACATCCAGGTAATTAAGGAGATGGGCAGAGGCATCAAACAACATTTATTCATTCAATAAACATTGAGCAAATGCCTCCTATGTGCTTGGGACAGTTTTAAATACTGGGATACAAGCAGTCAATGAGACTGACAAGGTTTTTGCATTCACTGAGCTAACATTCTATTAGAGGAGACTAATTGCCGGCGACAAACAGAGAAACCCCAGAGCCAGGAAGAAACGACAGGTAAGAAGGCTTGAGTGTGCTGGGGGCGGGGGCGGGGCAGGTGTTGGCCAGGCAGGGTGCAAAGGACATAAACACGGGCAGCAGGAGGCAAACACCGATCCCCACTCCCTCCTTTCTATGGCGAGCATTTCGCCCAAACCCTCCTGACCTCTCGCTCTGCCCTTTTCTTCCCCAAGAAAGTGTGTAACCTGGCTGGGCTCTAAACCCCACGTGGCCCAGGCCTCTCCTGTAGTGGAGTTAATCTATAAAAAGTTTGAGCATAAGTTAGGTGGTGTTTTGGTGTCTTTCTCCTTCCTTCTTCACACAGACAGTGGCCCACAAACTCCAAATCTTCCAGCAGGTGGACTGTTACCAGACTTAGGCCGGGGGACAGGCAGGTGGCAGCCCTTTCTGGTTCTCCCCCTAACCACACCTTCTTAGTGAACGGTTGTCAGTCACCAGGCACATTCTGGCCTCCCTCTGCCTTACTGCTCTCTCATCTCACTGCTCAGGTGGCTCAGAATTTGGGATGGGAAGAGAACTCTTGTAAGATAAAAGTTTTTGTAAGATGAAAACTGTCACTCCCCCAGCAGTCCTCAAAACTAAATTAGGAATCACTATCCTAATCTATCAAATCTGCCATCTTAATGAAAAATCGTTCAAACCTCTTAATAACTCCAAAGACATTGTTAGACTGAGAGGTCTAGCCCCAAAGGCAGATTCAATAGACAGTGAATGCAGGGTGGGAGAGTGTTGGGTAGGAAAAAGGATTATTTCGGTGACAGTATAAAACCCTGGGGTACACATTCACTGGCAGCAGCCACTGAGAGGAAGATGAAGAAATGTGAAATCTTGAGATATTCTTACTTTGTGACTTTATGCCTACATTTAAAAAAAAACACATTAGAAAAAGAATTTCTTAGATTTATCCTTTCTTAAAAAAATTTAAAAATTATTTTCAACATACTTACACATACCTTTGCCTCACAACTTCCTTGGGAGAAAGAATGAGATATAATGTATGAACAAATATTAAAGTCATGGTTACTATCCACAGAGCTCAGATGAGCATTAGAGACATTTTTTAAAAAGATGAAGAAGATACTTGGTTGCTAACCTCGAAGGGCTTAGCCTCTACCTAGAAAGACTGCTCAGGCCCCCAAAGCAATATATATCAAAGAAGGAATACAGGAGAAGTGTCAAATGGATGGCAAAGATTTTTTTTTTAATGCTTCAGGAGTTCAGGGGGAAAAAAAGCATCTGTTGAAATCAAGAGTGCTTACGACGGTTTCAGGGAGGATTTTACAGATGAGAAAACATTAGAGAAATGTTAAAGCCCCGACCGCGCATCAGTAGAGAAACTGCAATTAGCAACTGCACCTCTGGTAGGAGCTCCCCGAAGATGAGAAATGGGGGTTGTATTTCTTTGGTGAGCCCTACTGTGCTGGCGTTGCAGCCACGCTGGTCGGTGGCTCCTCATTCTGCCCCATAGTAGATGAGCACTCTGTTTGCCTGGCTTGCACACTGCTCCCTGTCGCTGTCCCCATTCCAGCCAGGAGCAGTGACCGTGATGTCCAGGAAGCGCTCTCTCCGCTGAGCCGCTCCGACAGAGCCGCCAGGCTGCAGGGAGGATGGAAGGCGCAGACTCCCCAGCTACTTTGCACTGCGAAGGCAGGAGGTGCTGCCAGCCCTGCGGGCCCATTCAGAGGCCTGCAGAATGTCCCTACAGGCACCGCCTTCTCCCTCGTCAAGTTCCAAGCTCCACAGGGACAGGCGGCAAGTGCTAACCGCAGGGACAGACAGTAACAGTTACAAAGTCCACATTCTCTGCACTAAGAAAGGCCCCAGGAAGGGAAAGGCAGGAGAGGATAAGGTGCAAAATAAAACGGGGTGTCAGGACTGTGCTCATCCTGCCCAGGACACACTGGCTGTCACAGTCATTCTATGCTTCCTGGCTGCACAGCCATGTTGCTATGGAACCAATACATGCCATTGCCACCTGGCCTCTAGCAAATAAAGCCGTAGTGCTGGCAAGAGCATCTCCCTGGATCTCCCTTAAAGAGATACCATCAATGGTGAGCGCTGCTGGAGCGTAGAACAGCAGCGACACTGTTTCCAGGACGCTGCCCTGCCGCATACTCAGAAACAGAGCCCAGCGACGCACGCATTACAAGGTGTGCACGCACGTGGGGACCAGCTCTGAGCTTCCTTTTAGGAAAAAATACTCATGGCTTGAGTCTGTGTTTTAGTTGCCTTTCATTTGGTAAAAGCAAATGGCTTTTAATAATTTGGATAATGATTTGATATACCTCCTGAGCGTCAATGTCAAGCCTCATGACCCCCAGAGGGAAACCAAAGTAGCCACAAGTGGTCTACGTGGGTCTAGGGCGTCCTTCCTTCAACTCTCCACCATTGCTTGTCTCTGACCCTTCTCTACCACTTTACTCTTCACCAAAAGAACAGCACCGTGTAGGCACGGAGTGTGGCATTTCTCCACTTTCCTAAGGCCCCTGAAGTGTCCCCTACTTTTAGACTAATTAAGATCTTGATTCTTCAGAGACCTTTAGATGGCCCAGCGAGCAACAGATCTCGTCGGTGTCTCACAGGGTACTGTGGTGTGGTCTGGGGATAAGCCTTCTGGATTTTTCTTGGGTAAGACAGAGAAATAGAGCCTTCAAGCTCTATTGTATCACATGTGTCATGAATGCACATCCATGCAGACCCAGCCTCTGGGGCAGAAGAGGTCAACATTAGGTAGTAAGCAGGTGATCCCTCAGGGAATCAGCAATCCGTGTTCTACACTCCATTCAGTACACAGGTGGAAACCGGACTATCTCTGTATCTGGACAACATACCAAGTTCCATAATGGTGACTCCCATTAGGGCAGAAGAGTAGCCCCCGTTTGTTAAGAAAAAGTGATTAAGTTGACAGGTGGGATAAAATAATAAACACGGGCTCTTCATGCTATGCAATGTTTTGGAAATGGGTGCACTTAGCTCGTCAACCTACACGAACATGACTCAGAGCCAGACCTAGCGTGGGACTTCTCGAAAGAACCGCAGGCAAGGCCACCTCCCCGGACTCCAACAGAGAATGAGGTTTTCCCATCCAGGTACTACCCAGGCCCAGCCCTGCTTAGCTTCCCAGATCAGACGAGATTGGACGTGTTCAGGGTGGTGCGGCCGTAGATGAGAATGAGGTTCTTAACTTCTCTCCATCTTACCGCACGATAGCGCTCTTATGTAAAAACCAACAGACTTAAAAAAAAAAAAAAAGAAAGAATAAGTGTTTCTCTGAAAGTCTCTGTGACTATAGGCCAGATTTGCACTGCGCTACGAGAACCCCGTTAGCCATTACTCTGCAGGTGCAGAGTGCCGGAGCGGGGGCGTGCGGTTCCGCAGCTGGCCAGCACACGCCTGCAGGTGCACCGCGACTTCTAGCTGCAAAGCAGGTGTACCAACAAGTCTATGGCGTTGCAAATGCAGTGGTCTGGAAAGGGCGGAAAGGGAAATATACCCCCTCAGACGAGGTCCCTAACAGAAATGTTCTGGGCACGGCCACTGCCAACCCCTCCAATAGTAGCCAACTACGATTCCTAGAAAGTCCAACAGCTGAGCAGCATCATGCCCCACCTTTGTCTTAATGGGAGGATTGCTGTCATTACCTAACCAGTGCTACCTTAAATTGAACTACCCGTGACTCTCTAGCCTCTTAAAGAATCTGTGGATTCATAAAAGCAGCTTTGTGCAGGACGAAAGCCATGCAGCTACGAGTTAAATGCCTCTCTCACGATCCCAGCTCTGCTACCTCTCTGTGAAGCCCCCACCAGGCGACGTGAAGCCCCCCCGGGCCTCAGCTGCCTCATCTGTACATGGGGCCTTGGCCAGACAAGCTCTGGGTCCCATCTAGCACTCACATCCTATTATTCTTTGTCACCGTATGCATGAGACGGTGCAGCCATGCGACGAAATCGGACGGGTTCCCCTTGCCCGCAGCTGTATTTTTGTGCACCAGTCACTGAGGGAAAGAAACTTCCTCTCTCATCCTCTCCGCAAGGCGGACAAGGTAATAGCAATGATGGTAACAACTCGTAAGATGCAAAACATGTGCACAGCAAAAAGAAACGGCAGAAAATGAGAGAAATCATCCTCTCTGAAGAACCCAGTAATGGAGAGAGCTGAAGAACAGAAAAGCATGTTGGTTCCAAGCAGGAGGAAACTTCTAGAGAATGCATCAAACACTTTCTCTTGGAGCTTCACAGTAATTGGACAAAATTTTGATGTGCAAAAATATACGGTGGATTCAAAGGATCACTCACCCTATGAGAACAGCAGGTTGATTTCTTTTCACCATGAAAATGGTCTAATTTCTTTGGAAAACTGCAAGAGAAAAACAGAATAAAAGAAGAATGAAGTGCCTTCTCGAAATCAGGGCAGGTTTGCAGGCCTAGAGCTGGTGAGAAGTTCCACACCTAGAACTCTGGCCCTTAGTAGGTGCACAATAAATGTCTGAAGAATGCAGGACGTGCGATCATTTGGCCGACTGTATGAAGTTTATCATGTGTATGAATCACTAATCACGAGACATGTGATCCTTATGACAATGACTGTATATTGCAGTGCCTGGGAATTAACTTTTTAGGCTGGCCTTTTAAAGTGTCACATCCTGCGTGCCAATGATGGGTCTGATTGAAGAAATCTTAATAAATACCCAGAGTATACCATTACTGATCTTGCTCTTTCCCAAAATGGTACACCCACAACTCCACTCACTGCCCATGGCGATCATTAGGCTCACGTGGGGATGTGGACTTGGCAGAGGGCACTGGAGGCCACGGATCAGGCCAAATGAGTCATCCGGTGAGGAAGCTACAGTGTCTGAGATACCGATTGGCCCAAGTGTGGGAAAGAACTGAGACGACATGAAGGGACACGGGAAGTCTGCAAGGCAAAGGGAAATACGGGAGTGATGGCAACAGACACTTTAATCTGCACCCCACAAGGAACTATATTCAAGATCCAATTAAAAAAAAAATTCAGAGACTGTTTTAAAGATGCTTTTGCAGGTTTGGGAGGGGTGTGAGGCAAAGCTAGTCCGGCTCCCAAGCTGCCACTGGAAAGCTTCACATGATCCTGGAGCCTTTTGGGATTAGTTCTACAAACTGTAGGCAGCCCGGTGCCTTCATGCCCTTCTCCTAAGAGGTCAAATGCTGTGGCCACCAGGCAGGGTGGAGTCTCCCTGGGATGTCGCACTCCCCTGGAGGCAGGTTCCCAGACCCGGTTTCTCAGAATCGGAAAGGCTCCCCTCAAAGTCCCAGAGAGAAGTCCACACGTATTCAGGAAGTGATAACTTTCTATGCTGTCAGACTGTACTAGTTCTAGGGGACGACTACGAAGATGATGTGATTCTGGCCACCAGGTTGCGTTCTCATTGAAAAGACCACCGGAAAGCAATTGCAGGCAGTGAAAAATGGTACCTGCTGGCAAAATCTCTGAGCACCTTTTTCTTCTTAAAGCATCACTTTATAAGCCACTCACACACATTGACCTTTTCATCCTAACGACAGACGAGATGTCTACAGTAAGAATTATAAAGACCACAACATATGATTTCAGAGTCAGACCCAAGTCTGAGCCTCAGCTCAGTCACATCCTAGCTGCGCGATTCCAGTTACTTAAACTTGCTGAACCCTTTCCTCATTTGCATAATGGCAGTAATAATACCTGCTTCATGTAAAGTTTCAAGTCCCCAGTGCAGCGCTTAGCATGCAGAAGAGACTTAACAAAAAGAAAAAGCTTTATCACGGTTTGGCACAACACATTTATACATCTGTAACAATAGAGGAGACGCAGAAAAGATTTTTATAACCTTATAATTTATCAGAATGTAAGTACCTGTACCATATTCTCTTTTTGCCCACCCTCCCCAAATTGGATGAGATGAATGAGAACAAAATAAAACTATTTACTATATAACAACTAGATAATGTAGCTAGGAGGGAAAAAAGCCCCAAATAATACAAATCAGGAAAAGTCACACTAATAATCGCTATTAATATTCTGGTTTCTATAATTCCAGACTTTCTCCTAGGCCCAAGTATACAGAGCATATTATACACATACTTGTAAATTTATATGATCATATACCATTTGTTTATAACATAGTATGACAGTATTCATGTTGTATTGCTACCTGATAATTTTTTCACTTGAATATTAAAAACCTCTCTTAACACCAATAATCCATCTACATCATCATTTTTGAGGACTGGAAGGATATTGCTTTGAAAGAATGAACTAATAAATATCTGTCTGTTGAATTTACAGAATCTACCAAAGTGTCCCACATTCGTGAGAAATGATTACACATTGGGGTAGCATGTGATTCTTTTTCTTCTGCATTTTCATCAAGATTGGGAAAGGCAGATTGTATAAATATAAAAAGTCTTAACAGCAAAAAATTGTTTTGGCTTGAGTGGGTGTAGTTTAGAAGAATACAAACTAACACATCTACCACAGGGAATAAAAATCACAAATTGCAATATTCAGTGGGTATCCAATATATTGAAAGGAACAAAATTTTAAAGACTAGGGATAATGGTGAATAAGAGTGCCTATTTCAAGTATAAAACCTTAACTTAAGTCAAACAGGTATCCCTGTTTTCAGCCCAATCACAGTGGAGTGACTTAATGATACAAAGATAGGCTAAGTGAAAATTGTACACTCTTATGAGTGATCCTTGATACTAAATCACATTATTTGAAGTTGAAAACCTAGAAAAAACAGTCAGGATTTACCATACTTACAAGGCATCAAAAGTTGGAATGTCCGTGCAGTGTCAATATTTCTAATCTAATTTCCTTCACAAAGAACGGTTGCTTTGGTAAAACAGATGTGATATGGGGTTTGCTGAGCCACATGACACATCCTTGCCCTCAATTAAGAAAACTGTGCCATACCTCCAACAGTGACTGGGAACATTTCAGCAAAATTCCACTTTTGAGGGCAGGCTGGGCTAGTGAGCATATCCTCACCACGGGCAGAGCGTGGAGATCATTCCTGCTCCAGCTATGAATGCAGCTAACCTTTTCTAAGTCCCCAACAGTGCTCCATCTAGCAGGCGAGGGGTGGGGGGGTGGGGGGGCTGGTAGGAAGCAGAAGAGAGAAGGACAGGACACACTGCGGCAGCACAGAAACCCCAAATCAGACACTGCGTGGAAAATCCTGGCGAGACCCAAAGTGCAGAAACACAGAGTCCGATCTGTGAAGCCAGAGCTCATATCCAATGGCAGGTGACCGTCCCTTTGCATGCTACCTTACAACAAATCTTCCCTAAACGTTTCATCCCTGGCCCAGCTTATGCAATTTTTAGAGGCAGTGACAAACTGTGACAGGGGTCATGTTCTCAGAAAAAAACTTCTGTGCCATTTTGACCACGTGAAAGAGAATCAACATTAGGAAATAAGAACACAGACCTTAACTTTAGCACCAAAAAGAATCAGACAGAGCATCTTCTTGACCATTCACACTAGGGACTTAATATATCATGGAATATGAACTGAGCTACTTTTAACAATTCTCTTTTGACGGTACAACTCAGGAGCCAGTGAGATGTCTCTAGATCTCACAACGAACTTCTTACAGGGACAGTTTTTGCTTCGCCCAACTCTCTTGTGGTCACTGCTTTCTCCCTGAGCAAGCGCCAGGTGGCCAGGTTGTATGTACTACGTTCCATACAATGTCCCTCTTATGCCATCAAGAGTAAATTATATATATTGTTAAATTTGCTTTCAAAGGGATCTTCGTATCCTTTGAGAGTATATATGGGATGGCCCATAACACATCCTGTATTCCAGAACAAAACTTGTGGTTTGCAATCTCACATCCTCATCCCATTGTGTGTTTCTGATAAATATGATCTGACCAGGAAAACTACTGATACGTGTTGCAAAGTTACATATTTGGACTACTGACTTTTTGTTTTTAATTTCAAAATATTAAGAGGGTACAAATGTTTTTGTTACATGGATACACTGTAAAATGCCAAAGTCAGGATTGTGTTCCTTGTAGCCAACAGGTGAATTTGTATACCACACCTCCACTCCCAACCTCCCCGGTCTTAGTTTCCAATGTCCTTTACATCCTCTTTGTGCCCATGTGTTCCAATCCTTTAGCTCTCACTTGTTAGTGAGAGCATGTGGTGTTTGTTTTTCCATCCCTGAGATACTTCACTTAGGATAATGTTCTCCAGTTCCATCCAAGTTGCTGTGAAAGACATTGTTTCACTCCTTTTGGAAAATTTCATCTTGCCATTGTATTGTATCATCCTGAGTAAGTATTTCATTCCTTAATATTAGCTACTACCATTTATTGAGTGGCAAATTTGTGAAGCAAATTTTTATCTGTTATCTCTAATCCTGATAAAAACCTCTGTGAAATAGATTCTACCAGCTCCATTGTCTAGATGAGAAAAACAAGGTTCAAGAAATGTAACCTATCCATGGTCACTTAACCAATAAGTGACAAAGCTCTAGGCTTGTCTGGGATTCACAGCCAAAGAGAAGAGATGAGCTCCCTGGCAACATGCATGTGGGTTTTTATATTAAAGTCTCAAAACATAAGCATTCTGTCAAACACAAATAATATGTACTTCCTTCCACTAAATAAGCAGATATTTCTTTTTCAGGTTATTTTGGGGAGGTAGCAAGGGAGAATGCTAGAACAAATGTTATCCATGACATTCAGTGGAGAGTTGTGTGTTAGCCACCCAACAGGCGCCAGGCAAGCGTTCTTCAGGCAGAACAGCAGGACCAAAGTGCTGACAGTTGCAACGACACAAAATGTAGCCTTGGCAAGTCAGTCTAACAATTACTTTGCATCATTCTGATTATGAGCCACAAGCATGCAATCAACAGCACAGAGACGATCTTAAACGATCTCCATCAGCATTTTACTTTAGTTATCAAAGCGTGGCAGATTGAACACACTCTCATCTGACCTAAGCGCCATGTTAATAACTCAGACACAAAGAATGCACAGGAATAATAATGGCTCAAGAGCACTGGCCTTGCTGGGGGCCACTGGTTATAATAGATGCATTTTATTTTGCCCAACTCTTTCACTTACTACCTCAGAGTAGACAAATTATTATCTATGTGTTTCTCATCAGATACATTTATCCACAGTCTAACTCAATTTAAATTGAATTAAGATTTAAGTAAGTTTACAAATTCCCCCAAACTTACTATTGTGAGATGTACATGTTTCTACAAAGAGCACTTTCCATATTCCATGGTCAATATTTTGTGGGTACTCATCTCCCCCACTGAATTGTGACCAGCTCTGATAGCATGCATCTTTTAAAATTTATCTCTGTATA